GAAGACGCCAAGGGCGAATACACTCGTTGTCCCACGCTGTCGTCTGGGCTCATGTTCCGCTGGGGGCGGGTGGGCGCGACTCGCTGCTCCTGGCGTGCAGGGGCGGTTGGGTCTTCGGATCTTCCCCTGTACGCTTGAGCAGCGTAAGCCCTGCTCCCGCCTGATCACACGGGAGCAGGGGCGGCGTCTGGGTGTGCGGGCGGGTGTGCGAACCCGATCCTAAGGTGCCCTTCCTTGCTTCGCGCTTTCTTGCCTCTTACCCCTATTCGACCTGGCTGCTGGGGAAGGCGGTGGGAATCGGGTTGGGGGGGCTGGGGGGGAGACACAAGAAAAACACCACTGAGGACCGTCGTCGCCGAAAGGCCGCCCTTGGCGCTGGGGTCGGTCTTGAACCGTTCCCCACGGGCGGGGGCCTCGAACCCTGACGACGAGGGGTCTTGAACCCGTGCCTCACGTGGCCGTGGTGCTGTGCCTGCTGGGGTGCCGTGCGTGTGTCGTGACAGGCTCCGTGGGGTGCCGATTCGGTGTCGTGTTTGTGCCGAGTGGTGTTGAGGGGGGAGACGCAGCAAAAACACCGCCGAAGACCGTCGTCGCCGAAAGGCTGCCCTTGGCGCCGGGGTCGGTCTTGAACCGTTCCCCACGGGCGGGGGCCTTGGACCCTGACGACGAGGGGTCTTGAACCCGTGCCTCACGTAGCCGTGTTTTTGTGTGCACACTGACCGTTTTGAGTCGGTATTGCGTGTGTGCGGCCCGGGACACGGCAGCAGCACCACTGAGGACCGTCGTCGCCGAAAGGCCGCCCTTTGCGCCGGGGTTCGGTCTTGCGCTGTTCCTCTCTGGCGGGGGTCTTGCACCCTGACGACGCGGGGTCTTGCGCCCGTTGCCTCAGGTTGGCGTGGTGCCGTGTTTGCGGGGGCTGTGCGCGTGCCGTGCCAGGGTCCGTGCGGTGCCGATGCTGCAATTGTGTTTGTGCCGAGTGGTGTTGCTGGTTTGATGAGAAAGTGAGTGTGCGTGGTGGAAGTGTGTTCGTGTGAGTGTGTTGCGGTCGGAACACGTGTGGTGTTTGTGTGCACGCGGCGTGTTGGGCTTACTAGTCTCTGCGCGTGTGCGTCTGTCTTAAGCGTGCCAATGTTCGGCCTTTCGCTGGTGCCCCAATCATCGGCATGTTCTTCCAGGAAGGGCGTTTCAAGGCTTGACATACCGATGATGCGCTGAACCAGTTCGTCTCCCTGTCGGCCTCTCTCTCTCGTTCTCCCTGCTACCCCGTTGAGTCGCGTGGCCTGGGGGGGGGTCCGCCGTGGTGGGGGGGTGTCTTGGTTTCCCGTGCCCCTCTTCCTCCTCCTCCTCCTCCCCCTCCGGCACGGGGTCCAAGACACCGCCCCGTCTTGGCGCGCTCCCCCCCTCGCGTTCGGGGCGTGGGGGTGAGGGTTCCGGTCCGGGCTTCGGGGGGAGGGCGCGGGCAGGCCCTCGGGGCCCACACGCCCGCCGACACCAATACCAATACCAACACTTGCCTTGTAGGATACGCCTATGTGGCCAATCGTTCGGGCAACGTTTGGCCACGCTATTGGACCATGCGTTCCCCAAGCCGTTGTGGAAACCCTTCGAGGAACGCGTCGGGGAGGAACCGGAGGAGGAGAGGGCGGGCAAAGGAGGATGAGGAGAAGGATGAGGAGACCTCTCGGGAGCCTCTTGGGGCTTTTTCGGGGCCTCTCCTGGGAGCCTCTCAGGGGCCTCTGGGAGGCCTCTTGGGGGCCTCCTTTGGTCTCTTGTAGGCCTTAGCTCACCCGTTTGACGCCGTCGGAAACCGTCTTGGGGGCCTCTCTGGGCCGTATGGGTGCCCTCTTTGTGGCGCCTCAGGGCCGGTCTCGGAGGCTATCTTGGGCGTCTTGGAGACCATCTGGGACCAATTTGGCTCCTTTGGCCGTCTCTTGGGGCCTCGTGGACCTCCCCGGGGCCATCTTGGAGGCCTCTTGGGCGCTCTGATTTTGACCTCTTCGGGCCTTCCTGGAGGACCGCTTAGAGGCCTCTTGGGCCGTCATGGGGGTCTCATGTGGTGCTCTGGTGCCGTCTGTAAAGCCATCTTGGGCCGTCTGTGGTGAATCTTGGGCCGTGTTGGGTATCTTGGGGGGCTCACTTGGGGCCATCTTAGCCGTCTTAGGAGCATCTTGGAGGCATCGTGGAGGCCATCTTGGGCCGTCTTTGCAGTCTTGGACGCGAGTTAACCAACGAGAGATGGATTCTGGAAGCTTTCCAGGTGGCCGGCGGGTTGGGCCGAAGCCCCGGGGGGAGTTCTATTAAAGCGAACCAAAAAAACACCAGGAGTCCAGCACGGCAGGCACCCCTGAGATACATCAGCAGGGGGCGGTGGATCGAACACGCCTACGGCGAATCACCGCCGCCCCGTGCCTTTGTGGAAGCGCCTATGTGGCCAAACGTTGAGGCCAGACCTGCCAAGCCATCGGACCATTTGTTCCCCGAATCGGTTTGGAAAGCCTTCGGGGAACACGTGGGCATCTTGAAGGTCATCTTGGCCGTCTTGGAGGCCTCTTGGGTGATCTTTCGGCGATCTTTGGGGGCTCTTGGGCCGTCTCGGGCCGTCGGAAGGCCGAAAAGAAGGAAATATCAAAATCCGTCAAACACCTCAGGAACATCTATGTTTTCGGCCTCTGCTGGCCTTCCTGGAGGCCCTCTTGGGGGCCTCTTGGGCCCTTTTGGGCCAGCTTCGAGCCAACTTCGGCCATCTTGGTGGGTTCCTGGCACGTCTGACGCCGTCGGGAGCCGTCTTGGGGGCCTTTCTGGGCCAACGGGGGACCCTCTGGGGGCGCTTCGGGGCCGTCTTGGAGGCCATCTTGGGCGTCTTGGAGGCCATCTTGGGCGTGTTGGAGGCCTCTTGGGCCGTCTTGGGGCCCTCTTGGGGCCATCTTGGAGGCCAATTGGGCAGTCATGGGGCCGTCTTGGGCCGTCGGAAGGCCGAACATGTGCAAATGCCAAAATTCTCAAACACCTAAGCAACACAAATGTTTTTAGCCTCTTCGGGCCTTTCTGGAGGACCTCTTGGAGGCCTCTTGGGCCGTCTTGGAGGCCTCTTCGAGGCCTCTTGGGCCGTCTTGGGTCAGCTTGAGGCCATCTAAGGCCGTCTTCGGTGCATATAGAGCCGTCTTAGTGGCATCTTGGGGCCATCTTGGCTGTCTTGGAGGCAATATTTGCCGTCTTCGAGGCATCTTGGATGCCATCTTGGGCCATCTTGGCCGTCTTCGAGGCCATCGAGGGCTTCTTGGAGGCCTCTTGGGCCGTATTGGGTGGGGTCCTCTTGGGGCGGGCCTCTTGGGCCGTCACAGGGCCATTTTGGAGACCTCTGAGGCGACCTTGGGTCCTCTTGGGCCGTCTTGGGCCGTCGGAAAGCCGAACATGCGCAACTGCCAGAATCCTCCAAAAACCTAAGGACAACCAATGATTTTGGCCTCTTCGGGCCTTCCTGGAGGACCTCTTGGAGGCTTCTTTGGCACGTCTTGGAGGCCTCCTGGGGGCTCGTGGGCCCATCTAAGGCCGTCTTGGAGGCATCTTGGGGCCATCTTAGCCGTCTTGGAGGCCATCTTGGCCGTCTTGGGGGCATCTTGGAGGCCATCTTGGGCCATCTTGGCCGTCTTGGAGGCCATCTTGGGCGTCTTCGAGGCCTCTTGGGCCGTCTTGGGGCCGTCGTGGGGCCGTCTTGGGGGCCTCTTGGGCCGTCATGGGGCCATCTTGGAGGCCTCTTGGGCGATCTTGGGACGACTTTGGGGGCCTCTTGGGCCGTCTTGGGCCGTCGGAAAGCCGAAAATGCGTCAATGCCCAAATCCTCCAAAAACCTAAGGAAAACCAATGAGTTTGGCCTCTTCGGGCCTTCCTGGAGGACCTCTTGGAGGCCTCTTTGGCCCGTCTTGGAGGCCTCTTGGGGGTGTCTTGGGCCATCTTGGATCTTGGAGGCCTCTTGGGAGCCTCTTAGGCAGTTTTGGACCATCTTGAGGCCATCTTATGCGGTCTTGGGTGCATCTTGGGCCGTCTTGGAGGCATCTTGGGGCCATCTTAGCCGCCTTGGACGCCATCTTGGCCGTCTTGGAGGCATCTTGGAGGCCATCTTCGGCCATCTTGAGCGAAAAAGCCGACGAGATTGGGATTGAGCGCCTTCGGGTGGCCAGCGGGACGGGCCGAAGCCCCAGGGGGAGTTCTATGGGAAAAAGAACCAAAACCTAGAGGGTTCAGCACAGCACGCCAGGCACCCCTGTGATTAATCAACAGGGGGCGGCGGATCTATTGGCATTCGGCCCGTTCCGCCACCGTGCCTGGGCCGCGGACCAGAGGCCTCGTGGAGCTCTCCAGGAGAAAACACGAACACCTTTTAGGAGTCGTGGGGTCTCTGAGGGGAACTCCTCGTTGGCCTCTTGGAGATCTTTTGAACTTCTTGAGCCCTTCTCGGGGCCTCTTGGGCGCCTCGGGAGCCTCGGGGTGGCTATCTGGGGTGAAGGGCTCCAAATGCCAATTCTAGTTCCCCCTTTTGTGCGCCTCATGGGCTCGTCGCGGTTGCCTTTTGGTCCTCTATTGGGGGCTCTTGGGCCAGCTTTTGGCGACCTTGCAAGCGTCGTGCAAAGTTGGCACCAGATCCTCCGGGATCCTGGCAGCTCTGACCTCGATAGGGCCAGCCCCGAGGGCTGCCAAGAGAGCCTCAGAGGCCCCTGGGAGATCTCCAGGACGGGCCCTGGGGACCATCCCGGAGCGTGATTCGGCGGCGAGCCTGGGGGGGGGAAGCGAGGGGGCCGCGGGCGTTCGCAGCAGGCTCGGAAGGCATCCGGCCCTCCGAGAAGTATTTTTGGGCCTCCCCGGAAGACGGGGGCGGCTTCTCAGGAGACCGGACGGATGGCTTCTGCGAGGCCCTGCCGCCTTCCGAGAAGGCCGGGGCCCCCATCTCGCTTCCCCCTTTTCCCCCCCCCCCCCGCGCGCCTCCGAGTGATTGACACGCATGTCTCAAACTACGTTCCCGCGCCCGCCAGAAATTCAACGCGGACCACCCCAGGAGCACGCAAGAGGTCGGCAATCTGGATTCTGGTTCCCTTGAAGGGAACACCGAGAGACCTGAGGGCACGCCACCCAGTCCCCACGGCACGGTGGCGTATATCGGGTAAGGCAGTGTAGAGCTAGGATGGCCCGGTACTTGAGCTATGAGTAGGGCAGGCAAGGCGAGCCGTGTTGAGACCGATGCTGCTACATCCGGAATTCGAGCAGAAGGAGGACATGGAATCAGAAGCAGCAGTGCCACCAGCTCCTTCACGAGCGCATGCGCGAGCAGTAGCTGCCGCAGGGTGAGGGGGGCCAAATATTCATTCGTATCGGTCCTCCATGTGCGGATGGGTCTCCTTTCTCTGACTGTAGTTCAGCTCTGGCCATGGTCCCCTCATATTTCTCGTCGTCGCCCTCCTCCTTTCTCACGCCAGCTCAGGTTATGTTCCCGAACTCCCAGCCGTCCTTGGCGCAGGCAAAGGCGGCAGCCCGCGCAACCCGGACTTTTCGCATCAACCGCGTCATACGGACCGAACCTCGTGCGAGGAAGAGCAAGCGGCGTAGGAGGAGGAGGAGGAGGGAGCGGCCACGACGACGAATTGGGTGAGAGAGGCGAGAGGCGCATCTTGCAGCACTTGAGGAGAGCGCTCGGGGCGGGAGCGGGATGGTGCGAACAGAGCCAGAGAGTCCCAGTCGAGAAGGACATGGTATCCCATGCCGCCAGATCCAGGATCGACAGACAGACGCATGTTCATCCGAGTGCGCGTGCGTATTTGCGTGTTTGCGTGAGAGAAGGCGGGCATATTTCACGCTTGTATGCGCGTGTGCGTGTGTGTGTGTGTGTGTGTGTGTGTGTGCGTGTGTGTGAGTGTGTGTTCTTTGGGGCTTCACTTGGCACCAAACCGTGCTGTTGCCACGCCGCAACTCGGGCGGGCGGAACACACACGGGGGTGACGAACGGCGCACCTTTCCAGTTTTTTTTTTGCGGGCGCGGAGACAGTCCAGGAGCCCTCTGTGCCACTTGTAGGGCCACTTTTCCTGCAACTCGCGATTGCCGCCGTTCAGCGATCCCCCGCGAGCATCCACCTGGCTGGCTCCCCAGGCCCCCCCTTTGCTGTCCCCCCTCTTTCGGCCGCCCCGATGCTTCTTCGGGGCGTTGTGCGGCGGGGCTCGCTCTCGAGTCCCCCAATTACGTCTGGCTGTGGTTTTTCTGTTTCAATCCGCGGGGCCTGGACCTCTCCAAGACTTATGGTGTTCCAACTTGCATTAGCCTTGATCACTGGACAGAGCTTCGAGCACCAAAAAAGTATCGAAGCTCGAGGGTTGTCACGCGTCGGGCCCTGGGAGGCACTCGTCCGACACTGTTTCGACACTCTTTCGACACTCTTCGGGGTGCTCGAAATCATTTCTTGGGTGTGGTTCTTAAGTACGATGGGAGCAACATAATCCAAGCAGGGCTGGACCTAAACTGTGTCTTGGGTGATTTCGTGGGCCGTTTTCGTTTCGACTTCGTTTTGCGGTAAAGACGGATTCGAGACAAAAGCGAGGGACAACGAAAACAAAACGAAAACGGACAACACCGTTTAGGTTCAGCCCTGAATCCGAGACGCCCTCTGGGTCGCAGCTGTGCGGGGGGCGCGCCCTGTGCCCGTTGGGGCGCCAGAGCGGTCCGCGGGCCGACACGGTGTGCCCCGTGCGGGCGGCTGCGGCCAGCGACGCTGGCTGGGCCGCCCGACCAGGGCTTTCATTCGGGCAGCAGCTCCGGGCGGAGCTGCTCTGTCGGTTTCACCCCCGTCCCTCCCCCCGTCCCCTTTCTCCCCTCCTCGCCACGGGTTTCCTTCGCGCGTGTAAGAAAAAAGTGCCCCGTGCGGGGCGGGGTGGAGGAGAGGGCGGCCGCGGAGGGGGACAACAGGTCGGGGGAAGCAGCGCGCTCGGGTCGTGCAGAGCTTTCATTTGAGGTCCCCCAGCGAATCGCATCGGGCCCCCCCCCCCCAGAGAAGCGTGGGGACCGCTCCGCGCGGTGGGTCAGCGTCGCAGGTCTAGACGTGGACACCAACACCAGTATCGGCGGCGTGCCTCCACCGAGGGAAGAAGAGCCCGATCTCGGCGATGGTGGTAAGATTCTGGCTTCCAGGTGACCGACATAGTACCGCCAGCACCGAAGCCTAGGATCATCTTCCCCCTGTGGAGGCAGCCCCCTGTGTTGGTGTTGGTGCCCATTTCCAGGCCTCCAACAGCGGGGATTCGGGGTCAACGCGCGGTTTTGTGACTTGAGAGTCGGTCTTCGAGGACGTCTCGAGCGACCAGGGCCGCCAGGGTCCCAGAACCGTGCGGTGACGGACCGCGCGGTGAGGTCGTTGGGGATTCCGAGGTCACCACGCGGTCCACCACCACACGGTTTTGGGGTCCCGAAGTCCAACGTCTTGACACCACCATGGCGGAGGTCGCAACCAGCCGCGCCAGAGCCAGTCCCGACAGAGGCGGATCCTCGGGCGGGGGCTCCGAGAGCGACACTGGCCGGCGGCTCGTTTCGTCATCTCGCGAGTTCTCCAGCCAGAGATCCTTGGCCCCGAGTCGAAGGTTGGCGGTCGGCAGCGTAAGGGGCACAGAACGTGGGGGAGCCGAGGGCAGCAGGAAAGGAGCCCCAAGGGGGGCCCTCGAGGTCCCCGAAAGGGGCCCTCGGTGCCCCAAACGCGCTGCTGTCTTCTCTCCACGCTGCTCGCCCCTGCGTTGCCGGCCGCCCGAGAAGGACACGAGGCGGCGCAAGCATCACTTGTCGGAGGTCCGTGCTGATTTCAGGTCAGGAGGGACAAAACACACAGACACACACACACACACACACTGACACAATTAATCGTCGATTCCCCAGAAAATGTGGGAGAAGATGGGAAGTGGGGGGGAAGACAGAAATCCCGAAAATATAGGAAAATATTTGAAATTTGATTAGCTGTGACTATTTATTTGTGCGTCCCAGTTCCCCTTCATGATTTCCTGGGTCGGCGTTGGGGCCCGCCATGGCGGCGAGTCTAGCGCCGCGATCCGCACGTCAGGGAGGGGGGGGTCCAGCGCCGATCCAAGCGGACCCCGGAAGTTTATATGTTCTGTGTTGTTTTTTTTCTGCTGGTGCTGAACACCCAGGCGCCAGGACCCCTAGGGCGGGGTCCGTTTCGATGCGACCGATCCGTTTCGATACCGATTCTGGCCGGCCAGATTCGATCCCGTTCCGATGGTCCAATGATCTGGTGGGGTGCGTGTCGGGTCGGACGAATGGGGGGGATGCAGAAAGGGGCGGGGTGCGAAGTCTGCTGCGTGGAGCTGGCCTTGGCCCCGCCGCCAGGCGCTTTCTTTCAACGATACATTGGCGTTTCTGGCGCCTAGAGGCGCCGTGAACACAATTCACGTGAGCTGTTTACTAGCGCCCCCTCCGTCCAGCCCGAGCGATGCTTGCACTTGGCTCTGTTGCGCGTCCTGGCTTGGCCGATCCGCTTCGATTACGACTCCGTGCCAGTGCGGCTCGATTCGATCTTGGGTCCGATTTGGTCCGATGCCATGGTTCGGTGTTGGCAGATCTTGCCCGCGGGCGCCCCTTTTTGCCCCCTGTTCCTCCCCTCCTTTCCCTCAGGGCTTGCCGACTCTTCTCCAATCGACTTGCGGGGATCAATGGAGGCATGTCGACGCAGACGTACGAAAGTGTTCCGATCCCACTCGATCTATCGATTCGATACTGGCGGCTTTGCGGGGGGCGGCGTCGCTCCTCGTCACGGAGTTGTTGGCTGATTTGATCTGTGTGCGATCGCGGGCAGTTTTTGGACAGCAGTGGAGAGGGGCGGTTCGCGTTGCGCGCGGATTGGGTCTCTCGTTCGTAGGCCAGCCCTGCACATACTCAGGAGGCGCTGATACACAGTCAACCCGTATAGGAAGGATGCGCGATAAGGATGCAAGGGCCTTGCCTGCCGATTTCGAAGCTTTCCGAGCGCGGGGCGGCCAACGAAGGTGGCCAAGGACGGAACGAGCAGGCCAGGATGGGAGGGGTACCACTGGGAAGGCTCCCCATCCCTACCATGTGGGTTGACTGTAAGGAACAGTTCGGTCTCGGACGGGCTCGCTGTTCTTCGGGTCCTTCCACGGCGGTTCCTCCGGTGCTCCTCCTGCACCCAGGCGCTCTGTGGAGGCCGAAACGGGGCTTCGTGCCAGACCTAGATTTAAGTTGGGCATGGCCCCTTACAGGAGGAATATTCAAGAGTAGTGCAAGATAATCTGGGGACGGTTCTTCGACTGTTCTTGAATATGTTTGAACATGTGTCTTCTATGTGTCGACTTTCTCACAAAATCCGCCTGTAGGAGGACATGCCCGAGATACATTTTGATGTCAGCCAGCGTGGACTCCAAACAGTGCGTGTCTCTAGCAATACATGGTGTGCAATCTATGCGGAGCAATCGATATTGTGCAATATACGTGGTTCAATATAACCTATGTGGTGCTCAATGTATTCGGTGCAATATACGTTGTGGGGTGCAATCTGTGTGGCGCACAATGCAGTGCCACCGACGTGGTGCAATACAAGTGGTGCAATCTATGTTGATCTATCGATGTGGTGGACTGCGCGTGGTTAAATTCATGTGGTGCAACCTATGCAGTGCAATTAATTTCTATTCGCAGTGAGTTGTTTACTCCACTGCTCGCGTAATCATCCCACCCACCCACCCGCAACGTGGTTTGTAAAACCCATGCGGCAGCGATTGCGATGAGTGCTTGGAGTTTGCTGGTGCATCTCTGCGGCCGCGCGCAGCGGCCATCTAGTCTGGTGCTACCGGCGTTGCCACGGTGGCCACAGCTGGGCACGTCCTAACGGGCACTTCAGTGCGAGTCGGTGACTTCGGCCGGCGCGGTATCATGGCAACGTCGACAACGGAAAACGAGATGATGATGGTAGCGATACTCGTGACGATGGTGACAACGGCGACGGCAAGGCCAGTGACGGCATCGATGTTGATGACTCCGACGACGATGACGGCGCCCTTGCGTCGGCGATGAAGGTTTCAGAGGGAGTTCGACGTGCGCTCGCGGCCGACGCGAAACAGTGGCACGCGTGATTTTATTCGACACGGATGGTGCCCATCCCAGCACGCGCGCAAGGCATTCGAATGATTTCGTTATGCAGCGCGGGAGGGGCGGGCGTTTGGACATTGCAAACAGTGTTCAAGATTTGTTATGTGTAAAGAATTAGCAAAAACGCAAGCGCAGGCATTTTCCTGAACTGATGTTGGACAAAAAACAGGTGCTTGTTTTATGTTTCCGGGACACCCGGTGCTGAACCTCTTACGAAACCTTCGTGTAAAACAAAGTAACACAAATGATTCCGGCATGCGCGCGCGACGACGCGCGCGCGTGCGCTTCGTCTCGTTGTTTCGGTCTTGGGGGGGGCAAGAGGTTTTTGCAGCAACGCGCGCGCGAGGGAGTTCGAGCGATTCCGACACATTCCGACATGCGCGCGCGATTGGCCCGTTAGGTAGCGAGTGGTGAAATTCGAACTTGGTGGTTTTCTTTCGAATTCGCAAGAGCCCGAACGCAAGTTGGTTTGAACATTCTTGTTGCGAAACTAATGTTTCTATATGTTATCTGGACTCTCGATTTGAACCTCCTTAAGACACCTGTATAATATATACGTTGCACCCCGCAGATGCGGATAAGAGTGAGGGGGCGTTGGGGACGTCGGCCGTTTGCGAGACTGCGGAGAAGCCTGCCGCAGGCGCCAAAGGTTCACAAATTATACAACGAAAGCGCCGCATGCGCCGATTCTTGATTGTTTGTATACATAATATACAGATGCACATATATATATATATATATATATATATATACGTAGTAAGAATGAACACAATACGTATGATAACAATGACCCCCCCGAACAAAAACGGCATGCATGCTCGCTCGACGACGCGCGCGTGAGCACATCGTCCTTTCTTCTGTTGCAAAGGATTGAAAACATATGATTTTGATGAACGAGTGTGCGCGCATAGTGTTCTTGCTGGTGATAAGGGGGGTACCGTTACCGGTGTGGTTTGGATGATACGAGTTCATTTTCAGGATGGTCGATGGGGCAAGGTCTTCTGTACATTGCAACCAAAAACGGGTGACCCCGTTAAGTCCGTAGGGGTAACCATACGTGTAAGAAGGAGAATATGTTGGTGCAGTTCGTTTGTTCGCAATGGAATGTCCACCCCACTGCTCGCGCAACCATCCCACCCACCCGCCCGCAAGTTGGTTTGCAAAACCCATGCGGTGGCGACTGCGGTGATTGCTTGGCGCTGGCTGACGCAACGCTGCGGCCGCGTTAGCGCGCGCGGGATCACGCGCAGAGCGGCCAGTTAGCTCGACGCGACCGACGCGGCCGCGGTTGCGCTGACCTGGACGCCCCATCGCGTTTCCACAGGGCGCGTTGATGCGCGGGCTCCGCAGAGCCCAGTCGGTGGCGGGCACGGTATCATGAAGACGTCGACAGCTGCACGCACGATTCTGATTGTAGCGGTGTTTGTGGCGACGATGGTTTTGACGACGGCGAAAACAACTTGCCAAAGGGATTTCGACATGCGCGCGCGGCCGACGGGCGCGAGTGTCCCGCATGGTGTTCGTTGACAGGGATCGTGCCCCCCGTCAGCACGCGCGCAAGATCGTTGAAATGGTTTCGGCATGCGAGCGCAAAGCGCACGTTTGGTGGAAAAAATGCTGACGTTTCGCGTATCCCCACCAGCCCATCCAGCAAAGATGCCCACGATATCTGGGGTGACCAGGGATTTATAAGAGCAAAACAGTGGGCAGCCCTTATCAGTCGAATGAGGAGGAGGCTGGCGGAGTAAATCGAAGAGGAGTCGCAGGAGGAAGACGAGGACATAGAAGGAGAAGGGATTAGGCAGATGAGAAGCAGGAGGGCAAGGAAAAGGGCGAGCAGAAGGCCAGTGGTTCCTTGGATGCCCAGGAGTTTCCTTGAAGGCCGTGGTGGCCGCCTTGGATGCCTCTTGGCGGTCCCCGGGGCCCTTTGGGGCGACTTGGGTGCCGTTGGGGGGTTGCCTCTTGAAGCTTCTTGGGGCCGTTTGGGCACCTCTTGGGGGCCTTTTGGGGGCCTCTTGGTGCTCTTTCGGGAGCCTTGGAAGCCAACTTGAGGCCATCTTGTAGGACATCGATCAAGGAGGGGATGGTCCTTGATTACAGGCGCCCCTCTAGAGCGTCTATGATCGTTTTTGGGGGCCCTCTTGGAGCGCTCTTGGGCGCTTTTCGGGCCGTCCTGCGGCACTCTCGGGTTTCTCTCTGTGCCTTACTTGGGCCATCTTGGAGGCATCTTGAGGCTCCAGAAGGCCATCGGAAGCAAAAAGGTGAGGAAGCAAAACACATTGATTCCCCGCAGGTTTTCAGCAGATGTTGACCTCCTGGGTTATGATGTTCCAACCTACTCTAGCCTTGATCATCAGAGATAATTCGAGCACCAAAACAAATACCGAAACTCGAGGGTTTTCACGTGTCGGGCCCAGGGAGACACTCGCCCGACGCTCTTCCGACGCTCTCTCGACACTCTTTCGACACTCGTTTCTGGGTGCTCGGCATTACTTCTGGGATGTGGTCCTTGAGCACGATGGGAGCAACATATGTAATTCCTGGGGGCTCCCTTGGGGGTGCTCACTGAATATGGGTACCATTTTTGCATGTTTTGGATATTTTCGGGCAATTTGGGAGTATGTTTATTTGTTCGTCCAAAATTTGCCTGTAGGGGGGCATGCCCGACCTAAATGTTGGCTTCCTGGGGGCTCCCCTGGGGGTGCTCCGGGGCCGCTTGGAGCCGTCCTGGGGCGGGTTTGGCGCCGCCAGGGAGCCTCCCGGAGGCCGCTTTCTTGGAGCGCTCCTTGGAGCCCTCTCGAGCCGTCTTGGAGGCCATCCTGGGCTCTCTGGCCCTGAGACTAAGTCAGGCTTGTCCCTCTACAGGAGGACTATTCAAGAACAGTCAGAATATAGTCTGGGGACTATTGTTTGAGTATGTTTTGACCATTTTGGAGTATCAACGTGCGGGGGACCATCAACATGCAGTCCACCCAGCTGGCGGGGGGGGGGATCGGTCGGCTTCCCCTGACGTTCCAGGAGGGCTAACAAATAGCACCCGACTTAAAAACCTACCCAAAGGCTAGTATACGTCTTGGTTTTAGGCTGTTTCGTTTAGTTTTTTGGGGTTTTTAGGTCTCCAGTGCTAAAAAATAGCTCTCTGGAAGGTCAGGGTCGCTGCGTGTGGGGGCAGGGGGTGGAGGGGGCTCGGGAGAGGGCAGTGGAACTCTCTTACGGGCGTCACCTCTCCGAGGCGGGAGCCCCGTTGTCTCTGGGCCCTGGCTTTCAGACGGGCGCCTGTCCACGGAGCTGCTTCTATACTGCCCACGCTCTCGCAGACACTCTCTGAGGAGCGCCATGTGCTTCCCCATGCTAGCCTTAAGTCGGGCCTGTCCCGCTACAGGGGGAATATTAAAGAATAGTCAGAAAATAGTATGGGGACCATTTTTGTTAGTTTGTTTTGGCCATTTTGGAGTATTTTTTGAGTATTTTTTTTTTTTTCGTCGAAAATCACCTTGTAGGGGGATATGCCCGACTTCACCCTGAGATCCGACGCTCCGACAAAAATTGGAGCGGCGGGATTTTAGTAGTTTTCCGCCTCCGGGGGCCCTCGCCGGGCCTCCGGAGCGTCAAAAAACGATGCAGGACGAAAAGCCGGTCCGGGGGAAGTGGTCCGGACCTCCAGGGCCCGCGCATCGAAAAAATTGGAGCAGCCGGATTTCTGGGGAGGCCTTGTCGGAGCCATCATTGGCTATCTTGGACGCTCCAATCGATCGCGGTGTGCCCCGACCAGGTCCAGGGGGCAGGGGGCAGGGGGAGGGGCAAACCCCTCCCCGAAGGGGAACACGCGCTAGACCGCTCACGCCAAGAGGGCTGGTGTGGTTCGAAGAGCACGTTCGCAGACCTTTTTTAAACACCCATGTTGCGAAAGCATGTGCTCATATATTATATATCTACACATATGTGTGTGCGTGTGTGTGTGTGTGCTTCGAGCACTCGGTGTTGAAATCCTCGCGAAACCCAAGATTGCGGAAGGATTTCGGCATGCACGCCCGACGGCACGCGCGTGTGCATTTCGTCCGATTTGTTGCGAGGGATTTTTGAAAATTCAGAAATATGTCTGAAGGGGTGTGCCCCCATCATGTTTTGTGCAAGGGGTTCGGGGGGTCGACACCAGCTGGGCTGGGGCGGTATGATTTCATAGTTAGAACTAACGAGGGTGCAGAAGCACATGTAATTTGTACATCCCTGGGGTGGACAAGTCTGGCCTCGGGAGGGTGGTGGATCCTAATTATTTTGGAAAGGAGATTGTATGGGCGGCGACGAGGCAGCAGACACAGACATAGAATGACAGAGCGATGCTAGGCAAGGCTTATCACTGCCATTCCAAGCAACGCAGAGCAACTCAAAGCGAGGCACAACAACGCGATGCAAAGTAATGTAACGCAACGCAACGCAATTCAAGGCAAGGCAACCAACGCAATACAACGCAATGCAAAGCCATGCGAAGCAATCCAAAGCAATACAAGGCAATGCAAACCAATACAAAGCCTCAGCAACGCACAGCTATGTAAAGCAATGTAGCACAATGCAAGTCAAAGCACAACAACGCGACGCAAGGCCATGCAAAGCAACGCAAAGCAGCGCAAAGCAAGGCAAAGCAACACATTGCAAATATGTAATGTACTGAAAAGCAAGACAAAGCAACCCAATGTAAATCAATACCAAGCAATGCATCGCATCGCAAACCAATGCCAAGCAATGCAAAACACCATATAAATAGTGCAATCTAGCAGCGGTAACGGACGGCGACTGCGGCGAAAGGATTGCGACGTCGGCAACATCGCCGCTAGACTGACGCACAGGCCCAGACAATGTCCGGCGATGAGGCGGCGACGAGGCGGCGACGGCGGCAACATAGCCGCCAGACCGACGCACAGGCCCTGCTCCGTAGAAAAGAAGTAAGAGCCCCTGAGTGCAAACGTTGTTTGGGGAGATTCCTTATAATAGTAGCTTGACTATGCCTTTGCGTCCTGTCTATCACGTCTGGTGCCATCATGTCAGGGGCACGGGTTGCCCTCCCTTGTCTCCTTTCTTCCTGCTCTTCCGTCGCCGTTTACCCTCGAGGTGCTCGTGGTTTGGGGCTTGGGCGTCGGACCTCGGCCCAAGGGCAGCAGACGTCGTTAAACCCTTGACGACCCTCGCTCTTGCCCGCCCGGTCGCGCCGCACGCCACCCCCGAGGATCATCAGGGTCGTCACGCTGGTCCCGCGGATGGCTGACACCTTCCTGAAGCGCTCGAATGTCGACCAGGCCGCGCGCCCGCCCGCCGTCGCTCCAGGCAGGGTTCGAGCCTCGAGGTTCCAGGCGCCCGCGGTTCTCGAGGCTCTAGCATGGGGGAGGCGGGTCCCGCGGGAAGTGGGTCCTGGACCCTCATACAGAGCCCTCCCCCAGGACCAGCTCTTCGTCCCGAGCCGTTTGCTGACAGGTCCCGGGGCCCCGGGGAGGGCCCCGCGAGCCCGGACGCGGCGAGGCACCTCGGGACCCGCTGCCCTCGGGACCCGCTGCCCCCCGGGTGGCGCACGGAGAGGCCCCTCGTCGCCGCGGCGAGGTGATCCGCCTCGAGGCCCGCGGGTCGGAGCGCACTCCTCCCTGGGGAGCTGGCCCCCGGGGGCGCACCCGCGCACCCCCCCCGCCGGGAACCGGGGTACCGCGACCAGGGCCCCGGGGCCGACGGGAGCGGCGCGCGTCCAGAGTCCTCTTCGCTCCTCCTCGCTCCTTCTCCTCCTCCTCCTCCTCCTCCTCCTCCTCCTCCTCCTCCTCCTCCTCCTCCTCCTCCTCCTCCTCCTCCTCCCCCCCCCACGGGGGTCCGCGTCACGGAAGACTCGCGACGCCAGGGTTCAGCGGGTCGAGGGTCGGCTCTCTTCTTTTTCTCTGCGGTCGGCGAGGACCTGGGCCTCCCAGGTGGGGTCCGAGCAGACGGGGTCGGAGGATCGCGCCCCACCGCCGATGCAGCGGCGATGCGGCTCGATGTGGAGCCCAATTTTCTCCACGCGGGCGTCGCCGACGCACCGCCGGCGTCGCCGATGCATCGCCGATGCATCTGCAGCGCAGCGGCGATGCGGCGCGATCTTCCGACCCCATCCATTCGGACCCCAACTGGGAGGCCTCTAGAGGAGCAGGATTTTTTTGTTTGGATTGCAAGGCTGATGAAGCACAGCGCCTGTCCGCAATAAAAAGCAGCGCGACGCTGGCAGAATATTAGCGGGAGCTAAAAAGTTCTGCACGGGCGCTAAGTCAAACAGCCACCACCAGTTCAGGGCAGTTAAAGCAATAGAGAAAAGCAGGGCAGTCCTGCTGGTACTGGTTGCCGACAACTCCCTGGCGACCGGTCAAGTAAGGGTGAGCAGTGACAGAAGGCGGCGAGCTCGCAACTCCCTGGCATCGCCTAGCCTTCACAGTACAAGAGAGGAGAGTACAAACTTCAAAGCAAGGAGACGGGGGTAGTCGTGCAAAGTATCTGCAAGCTCGCCCGTGGGAGACCACGACAGGCACGAGTGTCGAAATCGTGTCGGAGCTTGCAGGAACCAGAGCACAACCAACTTACAGTATGAACTGCGAGTCAGAGCAACTGGCAACCAAGAACGCAGAGCGTGGGATCCACACCTGTGAGATAAGTGGCTGGGGCATCTGACAACAATGACCATACACAGGAGTCTCATTCCTGGGCCAGCTGCACTCGAGCTGGGACGCAGGGAGGATGCCAAGCGGAGAGTTGGGATCCCCTCCGAGAGCGGCCCTTGCGATGGCATCGGTATGCACGTGCGGCACAACATGGGACTGGCCGAGCGTATCCACAGACTGGCAAGTACTGCTCTGGTATCGGAGACCGATCGAGTCTGAGAAAGAGAGACAAAGGTCAGATCAGCAAGCTGGGTCAAGGCTAGCAGACGAAACAGCTCCCGACATCAAACTCACCTCCTCCCCAATTCTGCAACCCTGCAAGTGATGCATGCGGGCAAGCGGCGGCGGCGATCAGGTGCATGAGCACCTGGCGAGCGGCGGCGCCCCCGGGAGAACACTCGGGGGTCCGGTGCCACACGCAACGGGTGTGTGGTTAGCGACGGACTACGCTCACCGGGCCCCCTGACCGCTGCCCCCCGCGGGCACAGGTGTGAAGATACAACAGTAGTTGCAAGCGGGGGCACCTCTGAGGAAGGCGACCGCGCCGAGAGAGAGGGCGGGCGGCGCATGCAGGCAGGCCGCGGACGAGAGCGAGCGAGGGAAGCAGGCTGCCGCTCTCTCTGCATTCCCTAACCCACCTCCTCCCAGTCTCTCGCTCGCACGCGCGGGCGGCGGGGCCGCAGGCGGCGGCGGCGGGCGGCGGGGAAGCAGAGGGGCGGCGGGGCCGCATGGGCGGCCAGTGCCGCACGCGGGGCGGTTCATCTGTCCTCACCTCCAAAGTCCTCCATACCCCATTCAACCCACCTCCTCGTTCAAATGGCCCGTGCAAGGCTTAAGAAGTAAGTGAAGCTGCACGGGGGAGCCATCAAGCTCAAAGAGCATTCCAATGATCCTGCGCCCAATCCTGGGCGGAACACGGGGCTCGAAAAACTGGTCGCTGCTCGGGGGCCGGGGGATCCAGTAGTCCAGCATGCGATTCCAGGGCGCGACCTCGAGCAGACGGGCTCTCTGGCGTGCAGCACGGCGCTCACGAGCGATGGCACGATTGCGCGCAATGCGCGCACGCAGATCATCCGAGAGGGGCAGGGGAGCAGGGGGAGAAGGCACGGGGGAACAGGAAGGTGGGGAAGCAGCAAAAGCCAGGGTATCGGCATACTCTTGCTCCTCGTCGGCCTCCGCAGGGCCCGCTGGACGCGGCTCGGCTGTAGGGTCGAGCACGCACTCGGGGGCGGGAGGCGAAGGGGGAGTGGGGGGCAGGAAGCGCTCTCGCTCGGGATCGACCCGAGTGGCGCTCCTCCCGTTGAGCGCGAAGTCGGGGGCCCAACCCTCCTCAAGTCCTAGATAGGGATCCCACTCCACGTAAAACGTTGCCAGGGACCCCCGGAGCTCAGCCTCCCCCTCACACATGTCAAGGGGCAGCGTCCCGTCGTCACAACTGTCGTGCATGTGAGTCACAGCGTCCACGATACTATGTGCCAGTGCACGACACAGGTCGGGCGGATAAGTTTTCTTCTTAGCCGTCCTCCATTCGTCACGTTCACTGTCAAAGCCCATAAGAACACTGTGTGCATTCCTGCCGTGCGAGCAGCGTCCGCGTCCAGGGGTATCCATCAAGCGTCCGTGCAGCGTGCTCATCCGAAGACTGAGTATGCGCGTCGGCGCACGTGCCACCTGTCCATGCTCGCACTGGTCGAAATCCGAAACCGTAGCGGCTGGCGACGACATGACGGCTCGTAAGGGCGGGCACAAGAACGAACTGACCGAGGCCTGCCGCCAACTGGCGGGCATCGGGTGCTCCATCCAGCAAGACGTGCCGACGAGCATGTGCACCCCAAACAATTCGATCATGGCCCCGAGCAGCTCATTGCCCACTCGGAGTTGCATCATCTGTCTAGGAGTGACAAGTAGTTTACCCCAAAACTCGTCATGCGACCGCAGTGGTGGGGGGCCGCCATCATCAGCCCAACGTATAGCAGACCAAGTCTCACAGGGGGGACCCCCACCCGAGAGAACGACGCGTCCGGAGCGTATGTGCTCCTTCCATGTATCTAGGGTCTTCCTGCACATCATGTCACCCATCACAGCATCAATCGCAATATCTATGGACAAGACAATGATGGCGAAGTTGGGGAGGTAGTGGGACCATTCGACACAAGACTGAATGTCACCGGGACGGCGGCGGCCACGGTAAAGGTTAAGCGCAAAATACTCAGTGCGCCTTATGGCAGCGGGCATGGGGTCGGCGGCATAACCAGTGTAGTTGTCAGTAAGGAACATACGCGTAGGGTATCGCTCGCTCTGGTGGGGCGGCCACTGAACATGGGCCGCATGATGTTCAGCTGGCTGCGGTGGTAAGGGCTGTAGCATCTGTACGGCCTCCGGTGTTCGGGCAGAGTCGGACTGCAACAGTAGGTATCTAGCATCATCCTGAGTCATTCGTGTCAGCATACTAGTGGCCAGCTCCGTAAGGGGGCCGGCGGCCTTCGTAGTAGGTACGACAACATGACGACGAGGGATGGGGACTTTGCCAGACGGGACTCGCCTGGCTGTGGCGTCCGGGGCAGGCCCGCTCAGGTGGTAGCTGGCCTCGTACGTGTCAGTGGGTACTAGCTGTAGGGTATCTGGGTCTAGCCGTCCTGAGACCGTAAGAATCGCGGCACATAGACATCTAGGGGCGTCGAGAGCTAGGTGATCAATCAGGTGGCGTCGGTCGTAGAATACAGATAAGCAGGTAACGCACTGCCCGTCCGTGCGTGCATATCCCCTTGCAGTAGTGGTAAGCTGCCGGTGTAACCGAGACACATGTGTTCTTAAGCTACTGTGCCGTACCATGGGCATTCGTACCTTTGCACCGCTGCGGGGACAGGGGGGTCAATCAGAAGGCCCCGCTCGTCTGTGTAGACCCGGGGGGGCACGCCTGCTGGCATGGCATCAGCGAAAAACGTCTTCTCAACTTGCTCGGCAAGGACATTGCGCGAGTGCTGTTGGGCAGACGCATAGGCGGCAGCACGGACGAGGCGCTTCCACCCAGGCTGGCTCTTGCGCACGAGGATCTCCCAGGGCCCCAAGTCGTCAGCGGGGGGGGCAGCTCGGCGCACACTTTCACCGTGATACGTAGCCACTCCAGGTCAGCAAACAAAAGTCCGAGTCCCGATCGAGCACGCTGGTCGGGGCGCGCGGCTTCCCATTCTGCTGCAAGTAGGGCAAAGGCAAGCTGAGGACCACTGTGGTGCAGCGAGCCAAACAACCGAAGACGTGCGCACCGCAACGAAATCTCTGGCGTGGGTCGATGCAACCTGGCCAGAACGAGGGCATCCGAGACCTGGGACCCAGATTCCTGAAAGCGCACTCGAGCTGCAGCTCTGTAAACCTGCAGTACAGAGCTGTGGAGCAGTCGTGATTCCCCTTGCGTAAGAGCGGGCCATGCACCCGCGTTGCAAAGACGTCCCGAGAGCACCAGGCTGTCGGCCAGCGTTAGCCGTAAGTCCTCGTCCAGGTTGTCCGTGGCGAATACTCGCCTGCGGAGGACCTGGAGGGACGAGGCCGTGGTCGAAGTCCGATATTTGATCTCCGGTGTCAGGGAGCCACGCGACACAAAAACATACCCAAGATGCACGTAGTTGGGTACA